CGCACTCGCAACCGCCTGCTGCACGGCCACGCTCAGCATGCCCCACCAGCGACGAGACCAGCCCGCTCGAGCCGCGGCGTGATTCTGCGCACTACGGCTCGCACGGATGCGGTCAACAGGACGCTTGACGCGGCAAACATGCCGAGCCGCCAGGGGCGGAACAGCCAAGCAAGTGGCTTTGCGCATCAGGCGCATCAGCCGCTTGACGGCTTCCAGTCCCCACGGCGTAATTGGAAAGGCAACAGCGAGCTTCGGACCGATCTGGTCGCGACTGTAGTTCGCAATCTCAAAGAATTCCTGAAGCTGCTTGCGTGAGCCGATTGGCCCTCACTCCGACAACGGGGCCACTTTGGCCGGATTTGGGCTTATGCCGTGTCTCCCGACAATCTCGCCCAGTGACTTCACCTGAGGCCCCACGCTGAAGCCTATGCAGATGCACAGGTCAAAAAGCCCCTCCAGCTCGGCAATGTAGCACGCAGACGCGCGCCTGCAGGAACTCGTTGTGCAGAAACGCACGGTTTGCCTGATAATACGCTTCCGTCGCCACCTCATCATTCAAAATCGATCCACCAGGGACTCGTTCTCCACCAAGTGGTGCATATACTTTCTGGAGCAATCCCCAGGCTCGTTCCCACATGTCAATGAGGTATCCCTCTGCCACCCGGTTGGGCCCGCATCGGTCACCCTCCAAGTCAAACCCAAGCTCTACGAGCTGCATCCCCGCGAAGGGGTTAGCCTTCGTCAGGTCCTCGTGTATGAACACGGTCAGAGTATCCGTCGGGTCTGTGAACTCGAGAAACTCCGTCGGAGCAAAGCAGCGCTCAAACAACTGACCCGAATGGACGCGGAAAGTAAGCTTGGACAACAGCGAATCGGGCATAGGCCCGCTGCTGTGTGGACTGCACCGCATGAGCACAGCCTCCGCAAGAGGCGTGAACACACTCCACGCTCCCTTAGAGCGGAGGCCACCGGCCTCGGTGACCCTAAAACTCGCTCCGAAGCCCAAACGCAGAGCGGTCCCACTTAAGGGGCTCGTCCAACAAGTAGACGGAATAGGCCACTACCGACCTGCGCTCCCTAGTGTGCGGCAACACTCCATGCCGGACTCGCGCATCAAACTTAACCAATGCTCCCTCCGTCGGCACCTTGAACCCAGGGAGCCCATCAGGATTCTCGCCGTCAGTCCAGCTGCACGGCTGCAGGCGATGCTTTGCGCCTTCCTCCCTCGCACACCGCCGCGTCCTCCTGAATCCAGAGCTCTCCCCCGGTGTACTTCCCAGTACAAAACAGGAAGTTGTGCGTCCCACGACGGTTGTTTGAGTCGCGGTGAAGGGGCATGTCACCGGCAAACACAACGGCGAGGGCATTCCACGACTCGGCTGATACCCGAGCAGCCTCGCAACGACGTTGTTAAAAATCCGTTCAGGTAGGTCGCAGTCTGTGTGAAAGCAGCGGAGTGCGGGCCCAGCAAACGGTAGCAGCATCGAGTCACCGATGCCAATCACAGGTTTGATCGGCTGGGCCTCACTCTTCCCCGGTTGGAGCTTGAACTGGACACGTTCTTGGACGATGGATGGGACGGAGCTGCGGGTCGAGTCGAACCTGCGAGCGGCCCTGGACCTCGAGAGCAACCAGTCCGCGGTTGTACCGGTTGCATGTGCGACTTCCGGTGTGCTCGCATCCTGAGCCCCTCCTTTCGAACGGGCAGTGGGAAGGGTGTGCCAGGAAGCCGGGGCGCGGGTCGCCCGTAGCGTTCGCTTGGCCGACCTGAACATCGATGTTCCGGTCTCCGATGACCGCCGCATTGAAGTCGTCGCGAACGGGCTGTCCCTGTGGCATGGTGCGCAGAAGGCTGTTGATGCCACCATCGTCAGCCCCATGACGCGGGCGGGTGAGGCCCAACCGTGCGCAAACGTGCACCCCGGTCGAGCTGTTGAGGGCGCCGCCCGCCGCCAACGCCACCAGACCTACCCCGAGCGCTCGCCGCTGCCGCTTGGTGGTCGTGGGAGTCGAGGTTGGAGGCCGTTTCGGCGCTGAGGCTGCCACCTGGCTCCGGTTGCTCGCCGCTGGAAAAGGGTCCGTGCGAAACAAAATGCTGCTGCAGGGCTGATTTGAGTTCAGAAATCATGAACGTGTGCCGCCAACGACTACCTGCTGCCCGCAGCCGGGGCTTGGGCCGCAACAGTTCGGGCTGAGCGGCAGGGGTAGGCGCAAACGGCGCCGCAATGCGAGCTGCATGGCTTTCGGGGCGAGGGTTAGTGCTGGTTGGCTCGGCACTGCCGCTAGCCACGCACCAGCGTGTGCCCCGCCTTGCGAGCGTGACAAATCCCGAGATGCTGGCTGCAGAGCCGGCAGCAGCACGCGGTCGCTTCACAATCTTTCCAACCTCAGCCGAGGTCACCACTCTTCCGCGTCCTGCTGCTACGACGGCTTCGCTTGCCGCTGCCAGTGGCACCGCGCATGCGCCTGCCGCGGCCGCCTTGACCCTCTCGGCGACCGTAGGGCCACCTGGATCGGGGAGCCGAACAGGGTGGCTCGAGTCCCAGTGGACGAGGGCCCGGACGTGGCTTTCGTGCCGGACCCGACTCGCCGCAGTGACATGACTAAACGTTTGGTCCTTGATGGCATGTATAATGAATTGTCAGAATTGCTTTGGAATGCCGATCCGAAGCAGTACCGCTGTTCGTGTGAAGGTTCTAGGAAACAGCCGTCGTGGTGGAATGATGCATGTTTCGATGCTTTGTTTGCCAGGAACGTTGCATGGCGTCGTCGAACTTGCAACGCTGAAGCACGCTATGCATTTCGCGCTGCTCGTAACCGTTTCCACCGTGTTGTCCGTGCTGCACCTGCGGTCAGTTTGCCTTCGCACAACTGCTAAGATGGTGCGGCGTCGCCTGCCACGTTGCACCTCGCTTGTCACCTGATGTCGCCAGGAGCCCCCCTCAACTGCCAACGCACGTTGGCGAGGACCTCGTGCAGCTCGGGCGCCTCTCCGGCGACATTGCACTCACCAGCGAGGAAGCTCCAATAAGGATGCGGCGAGGGCGCGCTGTGCCGCTGAGCAGCCCGGACCAACGGGCAACCCACGCTGCCGCCCGCATGGCTGCCTTCACTTCCGAGGCACGTTGCCTGGCGAGCAACCGGAGCTAGGTGGCAGCCCCAGCGCCGAAACGGCCTCCAACCTCGACACCGACGACCACCAAGCGGCAGCGGCGAGCGCGCACGAGGTCGGGGTAGGTCTGGTGGCGGATGTCGGGGTTAGTGCGCAAGTTGCGCAAGCAGTTGCTTATGGGCACGCTCGTCCGTGAGGTTTGTAGGCGTCGCCCGAGGACTTTGATAGGAACCCAGCAGGGCCTTGATCGGCCTCCTCAGTGCGCTTTCGCTTGTGGTACAGGCCGCCCTCCGTGGACGTGTTTCTGCGGAGGTGGAACTTACGGATGCTCGCAACACTTGGGTCGCGCGTGAAGGCTCTGTTGGGATTGAGCCCTCCATCAAGGGACGTACGCTGACGTGGCTCTGCTATGTCAGGATGTTCCGGAGGCGATTGAGCCTCAACGCAAGCTGAGAACAAGTGTTTTGGTGGCCCCGCATCAGGGCCAGCAGCGGTCCGTGTCCTTTTGGAACGGTCTCGGGGAGGTTTTCGGCTTCGTGCGAGTTCCGAGCCTATCCGAAGCGATACCGTTTCGAGATCGCCTTTATTCGGCTTATCGAGGATGAAGGCCTCCGCTTTTGTGTTGTAGTTCGCGGCAAACAAGCCCAGCTTCATCGATGCGGCATGTGCGGGGGGCCTCTGCACTTGACGTGCCTTCCCAAGTCGGAAGGTGGTGTAGCCCATTCGGACATTGTCTGTGCGTCGTGCGCCGCTTTGCGTGCTGAGAAGCCGGCCACGATGGCCGTGGGAGAGTTTTCGCTCGGTTACGAAGAGCGTCTCATTGACCCTGAGGATGAGGAGGGCGATGACTCGTGGACTCGCCTCGAGGGCAGCTCCAAGGAGCTTGCGCTCACGAGGTCCATGGGGTACGAAAAGCCATTCCTTTTGCAAGGGCTCCTCCACCGAGCAGGCGAGAGGCGTTGCGGGCTGAGACCGGTGCTGACGAGCGGAGCGATGGTAGACCTGGAGAGGGTAGAGGTCCCGAGCAGTTGCTCCGAGATCAGATGGATGACCACGACACGTGGGAGATCCTGAATTACCTTCGACAGGGCGAGCCTGGAGCTGAGAAGGTTTCGGCGCGGGATGAAGTCCGGCTGCGCACGGCCGCGGGCAAGCACACACTTAGCCCGCAAGGATTCTTGGGATGGCATGCAGCCGGATTGTGAGTTTTGGGTGGAGTCTTGCGACCGGTGCGCGCAGCTCCGACGGACAGGCATACCCTTGCCAACGGACCCAAAGCTAGAACAGCATGCGCTGGGGCCGTGGATGGACGTGCACGTGGACTTTACAGGCCCAGACGTGGAGTCCGATGGCTACCGCTATGTTTGCACCTACACGTGCAAGCTGCTCCGGGTACCGATACTGGAGCCGTGCCGGTCCCTCAAGCGGGGTGATGCTGTCATGACTTGCATGCTGCGGAGTTTCACGATACCCGCGGTTTGGCGGCACGATCTCGGTCCGGAGTTCACCAACACCCGTTTCGAGGAGATGACAGTGCTTCTGGGCATCCAGGAGAGGACCCCGCCGGCTCATAGGCCGATGGCGGTGGGTATGGGGGAGACGGTTCATCGATGTATGAATTCACTCATAGCGTTGCTTTTGCAAGACATTCAGAAGGCGTGCGCCTCAGAGTGGGCCCGTTTGCTCCCTTTGGTGCACTACATCATGATGAACAGCCCGATTCTTGAGAGTGGGTTGGTTGGTCCCACGGGATGTGGATCGGGTGTGGTCTTTGCGTCTCTACGTGGAACGCGAGCTTGTTCCGTTCCCGGCACCGGGTCAATTGCCCGTGGACGAGTGGGCCAAGAATGTGTTTCGCAAGTTTAAGACTCCGACCGCGGCCATCTCAAGCGAGATTGCTAGATTGGTGAGCGAATGTGGCGACACCCCACAATGAGGTCTGGGACCACGTTCCAGCCTCGCAGCCTCATATGAGCTCAGAGCCATCACGGGCCAGCGGGCCACTCTTGAGAGTGAAGATGGCACTCTGATCTCCATCTTCCCTTTGCGGAGTTGATCAGAGTTCCAGCTCGAGTCTTTGATGATTCGACTGACTTCGATCGACGCTCGTTCGGAGAGATCGTAGGTGGCAAGCCAACGGCTCCCTTGCCTGAACCGACGGGCAAGTTCGGGGCGACTATGCCCGGGGCCATGGTTCTTTACCGCCCCTCTGCCAACAAGAACGAGCTGATCGTGGAATCCAAGGCTATGGTGATCGTACCGTACGCCGGGGTTTGGAGCTTTACGCGAGTGCGGTGGTTTCCGGGGCATCTCCCCGCAGAAACGTGTCCTACAAGAGCTTCTTCAGGGAGGTGTGTATGGGGCCGAACGGCACTTTGCGTTACGCGGATCTTTCTGCGGTTGAGCACGGTGGGTACTCCTTGCAAGGGGCCTCGCCCATGGTAGTCCCTCAAAAGGTGATCGACCCTGACGCTGATGGGTCGGAGCCGGTGCTTGACCAAGACAGCACTTTAGGAGCGTGGGCGCCTCCTGTGTCGAAGGTGCCCTACGTAGCTCGGTGTGCACGGTGGACTTCCACGCATACCCCGAGCGATGCGGCCGCCACCAAGTGGCAAGCTTGTGCCCAGAGGCGGTGCGTCACGGAAGTGCACATGCCAGATAGCTGGTTTGTTCCCATGGAAGGCCAACCCAGTGGCAATGTCCGGCGCGATGCGGATATTACGCCAAGCGGTGCGCCGAGGGAATGAAGCTGCTTCCTCCAGGTGACAAGGTGACGGAGGAGCACCGGGTTGAGTATCCGGATAATCGCGATGAGGAGATCCGCGCTATCGGGCGCGTGATTTTCGAGAAGAGCGAAGCTCTGTGGATCAAGGACACTCCTGAGACGATGGTGCGTGGCTTCCTGCATGACACGGTCACCAAGGGTGAGCCCGTGTCACAAGCCCCACTCATCCGTGGTGGTGAACATGCGGAGTGGTTGGAAGCTGAGATTGCCAAGGCTTACCGCCGAGGGCATTGTGTGAGTGGCGAGAGTAACTGGGGATCGGCTGCTTTCCCCGTCTACTCTGGCGCGAGCAGGAAGCCGCGTATGGCTATTGAACCAGGTCACCGTGCGCGCGACCTTTGTCATGCCTGATTCCGTTTCCGTGAAGTGTGCGTCGGCGGGCAAGAAGTGGTACAGCACGGGTGATGGAGTGTCTGGTTTTAATCAGATCGAGAACTCCCTCTTCGCCCAGCGCGTTTTAGCCGTGGTGAGTTGGTCCGGCAAGCATTTGCCGAGGTCCCTAGGTTTCGGTCGAGGACTTCAGCCGATTCGGTTTCCGGTCCTTCCGTCGTAAGTTGTTCAAGACGTGGTTCTTGTTCATTGACGACGTCCTGCTCATGTGGCATGATGAAAATGTCCTGCACAGTAGACCCGAAGTTTACCAGCATGGCAAGTTTTGCGCCCTAGCAGTCTGTAGGGTTGCCGCCATCGCCATGTCCGGGCGTTCGCGCGACGACGATATATACCCGAGAGCTCGCAGTGGGAGGCCCTCAATGCCTCGTCGTGTTCGGTTCGGTAGGGAGACGTTCGAGACACGACAAGTAGCTCCTGGAGCTAGGTGGACTCACCTACGGATCTCGGCCACCCGCAGGCTCGAGCAGCCTTGCGGCGTAGGCGCACGCAAACACGCTGCAACCTCTCCAAACCAGCAGGCAACCCGCACGGTCCGTGCGGCCGCACGGACGGAGGGGCAGCGCTCGGCAGCGGCCTGCCGCCGGCCGCGGCAGTCAGGTGCAGGGTTGGCGGCGAGCGGCAAAACGAGGGTTTGTGCGCAGGCTGGGGAAACGAGGCAAAGTGGCAGCCCGTTGCTTTTCTGGTGGCGGCCTGGAGCCGCCACACGAGCAGCATACCCGCACATCCCAGCGCTGCAAGTGTTCTCGCCGCTGGCATGAAAGGAACGCGCCGTCATTACGGATGTGCTTCCCATTAAATTGTCGCATTGTCGCCGGCCCCTGACCGGCCGGGCCACTTGCGGGCCAGCCTCTGGAATTGCCTCGCTTGATGGCGAGATGGAACTACAGTCGCACAACAATCGATCGTGAGGGCTGCATGCAGCATCGCTGCCAAACCATCAAAGTCGGAGTGAATCTGCAGCATGCATTCGTATGACCGGGTGGCGAGCTCCAGCCCGAAATCGTGCGAGAGACGGCTAGGAGGCCTGGGGAGGCTGTTGTCAGTGGTAGCTTCGGCAAGGTGGTCAGCTTATGTCAGCTTCCAAATGGTCCTGTGATTTCATAGTCGCACGATGGATCGATTCGATGCATGATGTATTCGTTGCTGATGGTAGCTGGACGGACCCGTCCTGAGGCGAACCTGCAATGGGAAGTTGCACGTTCGTCGTTCGCACGCTTGGGCAGAAATGGATTCGCTCAGCTCACTGACGCAGAGGCACTTTTCCATGCATTGCTAGCCCAGCTTGCATGGCGTTGCATCTGGAAAAGCTCCGAAGAACAGGCGCGCAAGACACTGGTGATCAGCTCCAAAATCCCGACCCGAAGTGAGCATTTACAAGTGTAAGCACACGTCGTCGGCGTCGGTCGATACAGACAATGATAATGCCGCAGTATCCGCGACCTCACGTGGCGATGCACCTATCCCCAGACGGCGACCGTTCACACGGTCTTTTGATTCCCGTCTGCAAAAGGCTGTTGACGATCGAGATCCGATTGCGCGCTTTTGCTTTGCCGATCTCCAGGGCACACGCATGCGGCTGCGGTTCGGATGCACATCATACAATTTTGGTGAGCCCATAACAACTAACGTGCTGCTGAGTGAAGGCTCCGAGTGTGTCGGGGACATGTGCCCGCATTTTCAACATGTCTGCAGATGTTGTGCGAACACCTTTTTTCGAGCGTGGTGGATCATGTTCGAGGTCTCGCAGGCTGCAATTGGAAGCCCTGCGGTAACCACACTAGCAAATGACCGGCGGTGAGACTTGTCTGCCAGGCTCCGCATTCAGCTGCATTTTGCAAGCCAGAACCCGCGACTTTACCGCAATTTGTTTTGCGGATTCACTGCAACCTAAACTGCAGATCTTGGACGACACGTATGCATAAAGGCGGTCATGCAAAAATTACTCCACTGGCCGCAAAACGATTTGTCGGCCGCCTCTCTCGTCCAGTGCTGACGAATGACGTCGTCAGATGCAAGTCTGGCAAGCTCCTGCGCTGTGAACGTTGCAACAAAAACTTCCAACATCTTCCGTTTGTGGTCCAGCGGCCAGCCATTGCAGGTTCCCACAGCTGGAAAGAGGCAGGTTGGCGCAGACTGACCGCAGATCCCAGGTTTCGTGTTCAGATCCCTCTTCCCGACCCTGTAAGCCCGAAACTCGACATGACAGCTTGAATGCGGTGGCTCCCTCCCGGTCCTTGCGTGTCTCCGATCCTCGAGCTCTTGCTGCAGCTTGTCCTGAACAGAGGTGAACCCGTGAAAAAAGGAAACAAGGAACTGAGGCTTTAGCTTCAGTGAAGCAAAAGCAGCAGAGCTCAGAGGCAGAGGCAAACAGCGCGGTCAGGCTTTTGTCTGCTGCCCGGCCTTGTAGGTGAGAAGTCGGCGGCGGGTCTTCCCTTTCTCGGCCACCGTGAGATTCCTTGCCCCCACGGCATCTTTGATCCTGGCCACATCAAGGCTACCGAGACATAGTTTCAGGATGTTTCAGGCGTCGCCTGTTGATCTTCCTGACATAGTCCAAGAACTCGAAGACGTCAATGCCATCCCCATCACGATCAAGGAACTTGTAGAAGTCATGCAGGTCGGAGGTCATGATATCCCAGTGGCTCAGCATCAGGCGCTCCCGCACGAAGACTTCGAACTCGTACTCCGACAAGCGATTGGAGCCTCAGATGCCCAAGGCCGGCCCCCCGCAGATCGGAAAGAGCCGGGCCAGGGCCTGGTGACATCTATGGCCGCTCTGTGGCCGCTGTATGGCCGCTCTATGCCTGCTCTAGGGTGCCCTGTGACTGTACTGTCGCAGCCCTCGGCCACGGGACTGTCCAGGTCGATCCTCTCAAAAAGGTGCCGGCTGTCGGCTTCCGTCAGATCCTGTGAAAGCGGCAGCTCTCGAGTTTCCAAAGCGGACGAGCTCGCAGCCGCAGCCGAGGCCAAGTGCCACGCCAGCTTCACAAAGGCGAGCTGGATGTTCCTCCAACAACGAAGTGGGCTTTGGCTTTCACGTCAAAGGCGACGCAGAGAGGAGGGCCGGCCTGCGCACCCGCTGGATGCGCTGCTGCGCGCGCCTCCCAAGGGAAAAGGAAAAGGGCCAAAAAATTGCGGCCAAAGCATAGACGGTTGCCAGTTGCCCGGCTTGCTTGCCGAGGTTCGCTTGCAACACGGCGGCGTCTTGCTGCCCCCTGGCCAAGTAGTGCAGCAGCTCGCCCAGGTCCACCAGATTATTCCTCTCGCCCTGGCTGGAGTCAGAATCCACCTGAATCAAGTTGCCCCCTCATCTCGCATCCCGCTAAGCATCGCCAAGCGGATACGGGTAGGGCCTGCTCAAAGAGGACGAGGAGATCCGCATCGCAAACGGTCTCGTGAGCAACCCCAAGCGTTTTCCTCACCATGTGCTTGAATTCTTTCCAGTCCTGAGCACGTTTGAAGAGAAGAGGTCACACCAGCCGCTAGCAAAATGCCAGTGCAAACTCGGCACCAGTGTCCCAGACCTATCACGATCGCAATAGGCGAACAGCTGATCCCAGCCGTAGTCACGCTGTCTCTTTGCAGCGTTCAACTTCTGCCTGCACAACCGCATCCTCCCAAAAACATCGTCTTGAACACGGCAAACCGGAAAAGACTCGCCTGACACGGAGTAGCGTGTCGTGCTTGGGGTCCAGGCCATGGCCACTGGGTAGGCACCACCCGGCCTTCGCTTTCCTCAAGGGCAAGGCGATCGCGCACCAAATACTGCATGCAGGACGCATACACAATGTGATACGGCGTACGATGTGCGTAGGAGGCACGTCGCCTTTCTGGACTCTTTCTTGTACGCGAGAAATGGAAACGGCCTGGCCTGCGCTGGCCAGTGGGAGACGCTTGCCGTTGCAGCTTGGCCTGTGCAATTCCGTGTGCTTGCTGCTGACAAGCCCTCCAAGTTTTTTGAGTGCTGGGAGAGCATCATGACGGTTCTTGAACCCATTACTAACGGGAGCTAGGAATGCCTCCTCAGCCTCCTTTGCACGCCATTTGGTCAGCAGCTCGGTGTACATCGTCTCTGATGCATCTGTTGTGACGGAGTGCTAGTTGCTTAGTGGTTGCTCGGTGGCTCTGTGCTTATAGAGAGCCTTCTGGACCGAGCCCTGGTGTGCGCAAAACACAATCTACATGTTTCCTTACATACTCGGCTCTTCCCACAGCTGCTGAGCCACCCCGGCACCACACGAGAGCCACGTCGTGAAAACTTCTCGCTTGCTTGCTTTTCTTTGCACCTGGCGGCTTAGCGGGAACGCTCCCCAAAAGCGACGCAGCAAGGTGGAGAGAAGCGACATTCAGGTACGTCCGGGCAAATCCTCTTTTTTGTCATGCTTGCGCACGAACGCGGGGAATGCAAAAGAGTTCCAGGACACATCACTCTGCAGGCATCATGAGATCTAAACACAGCAGCTCGCTACATACCAGTAGTGAACAACCGAGTGGTAGTCAATTCATGTCGGTGGTTGCTGAACACTTAGCTGGGTAGCCCCTGACCACTGGAGTTGGGCGGTTACTGGACACTTAAACTTACCTCTAAACTTAGTTGGATTCTTATCCGCTACCAGCGGAACACGGACATATTAAGTGTCATAGTAAGGTTAAAAGGAGAGAGGAGCCCGGAGCGATCCACTTCTACACATGTAGTGTGTCAATAACTGCCCCATGCAAGCAAAAACCACAAGATGAAGCTTTCATTAGCGGGGCCCAAAGCTTTCCAACAAAAAACGCGATCAAGTGTTCGACCAAATGCTCAACTTGGATGCCATTCGACAAACCTATGTGTAGCACAAGAATCACTGTGAGGATACATAGTTATCACAATGGTCGTAGAGTTCTGCAGCTACTCACATCACATTGGATTTGCAGAGCAAGCCTCTGTGTACACTGTGACCTTCCTTTAAGGAAGGCCACAGCGTCTGAAGGAGAACGCCAGATCCGGATCTCCCTTTGAACTTCGACGGTAAAAGGGCTGTTGGCGCCTCTCAGATGTTGACGGACACATGGTCGCCGTCCTGAGCGAAACTGAGCTGGGTTTTTTTCAAGGCTGCCGGGCCCCCCGATGGGCCCCCAGTTCGGCCTGTAGGGGTGGAGTCCACCGGTGCGCCGTACCGCTGAAGATTGTCTGTCGCAAGCCGCCTTGCCTGGCAGCGCAGCGGCAGCGGTGCCAGAGTTTGTGCTTTACAGATAACTTCATCTCAAGGGCTGTAGGTGTCGTCGGCTCAGAGGATTCGAGCCCTGACAGTGCTGAGGGGGCAATCTTCAAAGTTTGCACTTCACACTGACACGGCCTTGCCAGCAACGATTTCTTCCATATCCTCCCTCAGCATCTGGCGATACCTCTCCACCGATTGACCAAGCACAACAACAGAAGCAAACTGATACACTCACTGAGTACAAGAGCACACGATACATGACATAAGCCAGCCGAGGGCGCTGAACAGTAAACCACTTCCTGAAGTCTACCATGTCTTTGACAGTGGCAGTGTTCGAACCACGGAATTGCAAAATCACCTGGAGGCCGAGACAGACAAAAGAAGAAATCTTGAAGCCTACACAAACGCTGTTTCGTCGCCTCCATAAACTCTGAGAAAGACAGCTCCTCGCTGTCGGGATCGTCAGCCTTGCGTATTTAAAGTCGGTGTGTCTTGCATGCGCTCTTGGTTGGATCCGAACCCAACCTCAGCCTGGGAGGCATTCTCGAAGATGATGTCGGCAAAATCAATCCTACATTGCAACTCCACAACCGGAACTAACTGCTACCACCGTTCCACACGACGCCAATAGTTCTGACGAGTGGCAACGTAATCATATCGACTCCCAACTCCTCGGTCTTGTCTCAGACGAGATGCCAAGTGGCCAGCGGCTAGTGACCCAGGCCGCATACAGGAATGCAATCCCATACAACTTCGTCCCAGTGACCTTGAGGGCCTTGACGGCCTGCTTGTCTCGGGCGATCTTGAAGAACTCACTTTTCTGGAGCCTACCATCCGTGTTGGCATCCGAACCTCGAAGGGGCACGGCTGGCTCGAGCTGCGACAGTCCGGTCACACAGTTGCAGCGAGGCTCGTCCCATGACCCGCAGCAGTGTATCCTTCACGAAGGTGATCTGGATGGCCTCCTTTTCTGCCGCAGCCACGGCCGTGATCACCTGACACGGAAGGGCCTGGAAGTGTTCCGCCCAGCCCCGACGAACCGCCTCGCAGATAACCCCGATGAGCATGTTCGCGATGGTGATGGCGGACAGGATCTCAACAAAAACAACCAAGCGAACCACGTTTTTCCTGCTATGACACCACGCATGGCCGACGCTGCTTGCCAAGGCTCCAGAAACGAATAGAGAAGCGCCAGGGCCACCCACTGCTGATCTTCCATGAAAATCTCAACCCTGGTGTTCACCAGATTCATTCACAAAGGATGCAAGCGACTACGGGAAGTCTAGCGGCAGCTCGGAGATAGAATCCAGCAGCGTGCAGTGCAGAAACAACATCTGCATCGACAGTGCCACCCCTGCAGCCACGATGCAGGGTTCAACCGCCAGACAGTACTGACAGTACATCGAGCTTGTACGGGAGCCTTTGAATCTGTCTTCCAGAAGCTCGCTGCCTGACCGGGATCCGCGAGCAACAGCGACGACGGCTCTTGCACCGAGTTGAGCGAGGGCCGGACCCTTGAGAAGCTGCGTGAATCCGATTCCAAACACGTACAGCACGATGAAGAGTAAAATCAGCGTGAAGCCGACCGAGCGCATCGCTGCAGCGATTGCCTGTCGGAGCTTGACTTGCCACTGAGCTACTGCATTCCCGAAGGAGGATGGTGTCCGCCGGCCGCCGGCCTTCACCAAGATCAAGAGCTCCGGCACCATTCTCCTGGACGAGAGCCGGGGCCGAAGGAGTGAGTCGGAAGTGCCCAGGATAGCCCAGGCACAGCAAGCGTGCCATGCGGAGAAGCCGCGTCAGTCGCATCAGCCTTGAGCCCAGGCCGGCATGATCTCTGGCGGGCGCGGCCCCTGGGCCCCTGGGCATCCTGAGCCCCTTGCCTCGCGAGCCGCAGGATGTTGGCATTTGCCAGGATGCCTCGGCCGGGGCACTGGCGAAAGCGAAACCCATCCTCTGAGGCGCCGCTTTACACTCCGCTGATCTCCCCATATCACTTCCTCTTTCAGGCCGAGCTGCCATCCGTGTCCCCGGCGCCCGTGGCCACCAGCACCAGGCTGAGCACCCAGTTTTCCTACAGTCGAACCAGCTTAGAATGAGCTTTGGGGAAAAGGATTCTCGAGGCAACGAGCGGCAGACTCTGCAGATCTTCCGATCAGCTTCGCGTTTGAATCATTTCTCTATCTCAGTCTATCTCCATCTCACTTGAGTTCTGGGAGACTTCTTACCAACTTTCTCTCGCTTCCCGGCGTTGATTAAATTCCTGATCTGGTGCAACGTCCCGCTCAACCACGTTTTACCAGTATCTCGTCACCTCGAGCCGCACATGTTGCTGCAAGTTGCAGCCAGGTGAGCCGAGTTTTGCCTTCCGCAAGTAAGGAAGCTGAATGGTACAGCACAGCGGCAGCGCAAGGACGCGTAGAAATTGGATCGGGAGGCACTGAAGAGGAAGATGAGAGAAGATCCAAGAAAAGGAAGCCAAAACCTTTGCCAAGCTCTTAACTTTTCCATGGTCCGGAGAGTGCTCCCTCAATTGAGCAGTTCAACGGCTTTCTCGACACGACTGCATTTATCTTCCCGTCTCCTAGCTCCCCTCGACGCGCTCCCAAGCCGTGCTCTTGAGGCTCCCACGAGGATCATCATCAGTACCAATGCCAAGTCGAAGACGAACCAGGCGTCTTTCATGCAGTTCCGCTTCTCTTCGAAGGCCAGGAACCGTATGACCTCCGCTTAAAACCCCGGGGGCCATCCCGGGCCTTCGGCACGCAGCGCTTCCCTTGGCGCTCTCTGCCCATGGGGCCCCGGGCCAGCTCGGCGAGGAAGTAGGTGCAGAAGACCTGCTCCACGACGAAGAAGACCGGGTCCGCTTCCGTGATCACGTCCTGCCAACTGCGAGCTTTCCGTGCCCTGACCTAACCCACACCAATATTCAAAGCAAGGCACGTCGTTGAGGTCTGTGTCGATCGCCATCCAGATCGCATAAATGCCAATGATGGCCATGGTTATGTTTTCAAACCTGACTCTCCGGGAATGAAAGTGGCTACATTGTTGCATAGCACTGACACAGAAGCCACACCCCGGTCGTCTTCATCCAGCTGAAGTGCCGTGGGCTGCGCGCGATGCGCTGGGCGAGGCCGGTCTGCTTGTAGAAATTCTTTACGTCGTAGCCTCGGCAAGATGCGAGGCACAAGGAGTTTGAGGAACCTTCCCACTCCTGCTCTGGAGCCCTTTCTCTCTTGCTGAGTCGGGCACCATTGCCGTCCGACAAGAGCTGCTCACGCACTGCCTGCACAAGAGCTTTGGTAGCTTGATTCTGACATTGCCGTGATCACATGGTACTCTACGGTGACCGGCACCCTGGTTTTTCCCTCATTGCTGAGCTCATCTCGACAAGCACTTCCTCTGTGTCCTTGACGCTTGCTGGTCCATGCGAGGAAGGAGTCTGTGAATACATCTCATTAGCCTCGCCTTCTTGCCGAGTTGATTCTCTCTTCGAGGGCTTCGGGCATGTAGACTATAGAGCAGACAACTGCCAAGCCTCCAGCCCCCATCTGATTTCTCATGTCTTACTTGCAGCAGGTATGCGCAAATCAGTCTTTATTCGGAGTGCCATCCAGTTCGCGTCATTTTTCCCATGACATACCTCAAGTGAAGCCCTATCCGCATGTTCAGCAGCTGCTTCACCTTTCTATCTGCTATATACCGTTTCGTTGTGCATGTAGTTCTGCTGCTCCTTTCAAATATCTTGTCTTTCTGCGCATTTCAGAAACAACCGTGTAAACAGATCATCCTTTGTATCTGCACGATACTGCTGTAGCACTTTAGGTAAGCACGCAAATCAAATCGGGTCTCAAGGAAGTGGGTCACCAGCGGAAGTAAGACATGGTTGTGGTACGGTCTGTGCTACTGCCTTGGACGCCATTACAGGTGTAGCAATGTGTAGCAGTACAACTGGATCCTCATCATGTCATGTATGTGTGGGTGGGGATCTACTGGTCTTTTGACGTGGTGCTTTGCACACGCTTCTTGCTGAACGCGCTTCTACGCGCCAACGCGTTTCCATTCAATTTTTCAAAACTACACAGCGGCGGGACCGAAACAGAAAAACAAATAAAAAATAGAAACGAATAGCCATTAGGGTCTGCTCGGGAACTCGCTTCTTGGGAATGCGCTTCTTGGGAACGCGTTTCTCAGACCATATATCTGACACAGTAGCTCTTCTGGCTTCTCTTGTTGGATCCCCACAGTAGGCGGGCAAAGCACGCATTGTCAGATCCCACCGGAGCGCCGGCTGTTCCTACTTTTCGTCAGTTATCCTTGATGAGGGGGACGACTATATGATGACAGGTGGGACGGGCAGGTAGTTCTGATCCAGTGCCGAAGTAAATACCTTCTCAACTTTTGGGGAGCTTATCATGGCCTGTTTGCAGTGGCTCCCGGCGAATACTCTCCATATGAACTTCGTTGGGACAACGTGATACTGACGGCCTACAAGCTTGATGGAACATGCAGGAAGTAGCTTGCTGTTATTGAAGTGTGCCGTGCAGTATCAAGCTTGCAGGATGAGATGCCAAATCCAACATCGTGCGCTAAAATATGTAGAAACCCGGTTTGCTATGAAACGTGGGGCGTGTCCCGTTAGATCTTTAGTCACGTAAAGACTGTATCCGGATGGCATGCAGAAAGCCTCGTGTCACGCAAACTCGTTTTCAGACCATCCCTCCCGGCCTCTCTGCTGTGGGTCTTGCCCTCTCTCGATACTTCCCGTACGGGAGTGGTCAGGTATGGTACGCCGGGTACGCTGTGTTGCTCAGGCATATCACATCTGCTTGGTATACTTCAGGGCTTCTTAGATTGTGGCTGTTGAGCTCCTTTGGCTCGCAAATGTTTTCGAAGTTGTCGCCATATGTGTGAGATAGTTGATCTTGGTCGTGTTTGCTTTTAGGTGCATGCTGCATTCGAAGATCTGGTCTGTATACGAGTTCAAGCAATGCTTCTTGACCCTGTAAGTTAGTCAGGTTGCTGACTGGCTTCAGTTCGTCACTTTAACCTGCTCCTGTAAAGCTGAACTCGGGATTCACATCCGGCTCATTTTTGCGAGAATCGCACCAAACACTACAGAGACATTTCTGTCCCACCGACCACAGTGACAAAGATTTTGTTGTGGAGACACGCCGGAAGCCCTGAAGGTCCACTGCTTCTCCAGCTCTCAGGCTCAGAAAACACGGTGACACCTATGATACCCCATCGTACGAGTACCCGTTCCTGTGTTGCACCCCGTGCACCGTCACGCCTGCTTCATGTCCATCGAGTCCTTGAAGACCGCCTTTCACGTAAACAGAGAACAGTCTGGTGGCTGACGGCAAGCGGCGGCTATGCCAGTGCCTGTGCCATGCCTTTCTTGGCAGCTTCCACAGCCTACCAAGCTCAGACAACAGGCGAAGACAGCGTGAGCCGGGCAACAGCCAAGAGAGACCTCTGTTTGGGTGTCTTCGACAGAAACCTCCAGAATTCCTGAAGACCAGCGACGAGATTCTCAGCTGGCGGTCAGACTTGTCTTCAGCACCACTGAGACAAATGGCATGCTTTTCTTCAACCGCCGTTCGGGTCCTGAAAGCTCCGGCACCACTGAGAAAGACCCATCCTCGAACCTTGGAGGATCCTGAAGCCCAGCAGCAGTGCAAGTCAGAAAGACGACAAGCAGGTACATGCAGGCCGCAAGCCCTCTACTCAAACTCGCCTCAACACGCACGCACACGCATGCTGTGTGAATGCAGGCAGACACCGATGATGGAGGAAGAGATAGTAAGAGGACCACGGAGAGCATATGTTTCTCGCAAATTGCTTTGGATTCTTCTACACGCTCTACGTCTCGCACTGCAGCACCAACAGCTCGACCGCGAGACAGATGGCCTTGGATTTGACTCTGGCTTTGGACGAGTCCTGCTCGGAAGTGCGTCCATCTGTCTACAATGCAGTCCTGAGCTAGAACGTCGCTGTGTTGATACTTCCATGTGCCTTTGTCGGCAATTGCGAGTGCGACAATCAATCCTAAAAACAGCTGTTCCCCCAAACTGGCAATAGTTTGCCGCCGCAGAGCTGCCTGGCTACCGCAAAAGCCGTGAATGCGTGTGGCGGAAAGTCCTTCTGTATCTGCAGTCTCTCCTCACAACACCAACTGGACAGCAGAGTTAACACGACGTGATGTCCATCCAAAGCCTCTACTCAAGGCAACAGTTGCTTGATGAGACACTGCAAAACTAAGACTGTCCTCCAGAATCTCATCGTTCTCCGCGTCGAGAAACAGACCCGGTACGGCTGGCACAGCCTTCCATGCAACGAAGCTGGAATGCACGTGCCGGCGACAGAGTCCGAGTCGGCACGTCTCAGATCCACGATATTAGGTTAACAGCCGCCAAATCCACGAAGGGCACCGGCATCAATGGTCGCTGCCGTCTACGCAGTCGTGCGAGCTGCTTCGTCCGCATTGCCCCCCCCCACACGACCGACACAAGCAGCTCCAAACATCGCGCTGCATTCTTCTCCATCTGTCGCCGCTCCCCACCCTTGCACCCAGTGTGAACACTGCTGCACATCCACCTGTGAACTTGTCATGCCACACGTTCAAACAAGATTTGCCCGTGTAGCAGCAATGGTCCGTTACTTGCTGGCATAACTGCAACTCGCTCTGACATGATCCAGTGCCTCGCTCACCCCGCAGTTCGCTTTGAGGCGAAGATTCTCAGCCTGGCTTCACGGCTCATGATGCCTCTGCGCTAGGCAGCGGGACCAAGTAACAGGTTCTGAGGATCCAGCGACTAGCCTCTCATGCTCCTCAACCACGTGAGCTACCTGAACAAACACAGGTCTGATCTGCAACTGAGACGAGGGAAGCTGCCTGTGCCAGAAACGGCTTGAGGCAGGTCGACGAGAAAGTGTCTGGATTCATTGGCCTGTCCGGCCACCGCAAGCTGCCACAGATGCTCTGATCATGCTGGTCTGGCAAACTGCGACCCTGCTTCTCACACGTGCCTGATGTTGCCCTCCATAGCTCTGCTTCGAAGAACTTCATGAAACTGGAAGTAAGCTGATGTGTTGATGTGTTTGTTTTGCGTGGGTATTGTATGTGCTCGAAGGACGATTCAATGCAACACGAGCATCGTGTGGGACGTCAACATGATCTATGAGCATCGTGCTAGAACTCACGGCTGCAAGCGAGACAGCATAGACAGCTCACATCTTGCGCACAACAGCGCATGACTTGATAGTGACTTTGTACCTCTTTTGCTTGTCTCTCGAAGGTTCTAAACAGCTTTGGACGCCTGAAGCTTTTTGGGTCGTAGACACCGTCAACGCAGTCTTGCCAAGATATCGAAACCTGCACCGAGTCAATGGATCACCAGCACAGACTCGTCGCAGGCGACAGGTCTCAGCGTTGATCCTGGCAGCCGTTGGACGGCCAGAGGCCGAAGGGCCAGCAGTAGACAGTACCTAATTGGAGCTACATTGAGTGCATCAGCCACTACACGACCTGGCATGACCAATCAGATCATGCGCAGCACAGACGGAAGAATCAAAACTTGAAGAGCTGGCTCCAGATCAACAAATGCCAAATGCAAAGAGATACTGTATCGTTCACAACCAGCATCGCTTCAAGTTTCGCCCGGCTACGGTCGTCGGAGTGCCTTTAAACCCAGTGTCTGCACAGGCTCAAGTGGCTCGTGGCCCGACATCACGGGCCGATCGGAGCCTGAAGATCATCGCCAGCGAGACGCAGCATGAGTCTCCACCTCTGCGAGCTTTGACATCTCCGAGGCCGCGACGTCAGCACGGGCTCCGCCTTCGGCAAAAATTTCCAGCAAGCTCTGGTAACTTTAGTACAAGTCTTCCTCGGTAAATGCAGGCGACACCTTGTACTGCCTGTACTGCGGTCGGCACCGCGGCATTCGCTCGCCTGGGCCCACCGGCCACATGCCGCAAAGTCGCGTGGCAGTGTCAGGAATATCCACATTTCCGTGCTCCACAGCTTCTCAAATTCCCCAAGCCAGGTGGCTGCAAAATCTTTGGAGGTGCAGTGAGGCGAACAGCCTGCGCACTGCCCGTGCCATTTCATCAGAGCCATGAGCCATTGATCAGGGAACAGGACTCTCTGTGCTCTCTGCGCACTTCTCAGGGACGGGCCGGCTTGGAAATCGGCAGCTCGTCGTCTACGTCGAAATCTCAGCCATCACAATGACACACTCCACATCAGTCATGTTACGGAGAGCACCAGCTCGGACAAGGAATCAACGCACACACAGAATCTCAAGTGCCGTGCCGTCTTTGGCTTCCGGAGCCTGGGACGGGCAATGATGAGCGAGGAGGAGCTCATCTTTCTTTCTTCGGAGCACATCCAGTGAATGCCCTCGCTGCTCGCGGAATGTCTTTCACTACTCTTATGACCTACAGCTCTGCTGTACCATTACGACCACACCAAAGGCTCTCCGGCAAGGAAGCGCATGCCTGAGAAATTGCTCGTTGACAACCTACTGAAAGCCGAAACCAGGATGGCCGTTTGGGGGTGAAGGCTACACACGCAGCCATGCAAAGTTGACGTTTTCATTCCAAAATGAGCCTTCCGACCAGCACTAACGACTGCCACATCACCACCCCGAGTAAATGTCAAGAACAGTTTCAACAGAAGAAACTAAGGAGAAGAAAGGCTGACATGGCAATGGAAAATTCCAAAGGAAGCATGCATTCTAAACCATTACACGAGGTGGAAACGTGCAAACATTGACTTAAATCGAAAATTCCTGCACTGTTGAAGGAAACATATAACCGTATGTCTGAATTTCGGACAATGCCGCTATGCAATTCGCAGTCGCAAACACTTGTTGTGGTGTCAGCTGACTGCTTGTTCTCAAGCGGAGCAACGGCTGAGTGGAGTTAGACGCGAAATCATATGCATGATGCACGTCGCGAGAAGTTGCGTTGCTGTCGCAATGCGAGTTCAGTTGAAAACATATGTGTCAAAGACTTGTTGTCACAATGCCAGGCGCCGCGAGCAACGGAAACCCTCCGGCCACCATGCTAGTTTGGAGACCCACCCAAAGCCTTAAAGAATGCTCTACACCCCAAGCCAAGAAACCCAAACCCTAAAGTGGACGACCCGAAACTCTAAGCCATAAAACTACTGACAGCTTTCACACCCTAAGAACCTCAAGCTGTGGACCTTTACAAATAACCCAAAGGGTCAGATCTTCAAATGCCAAAGCCCTCAAGCCCAAAGCCCGAACATAAAGGCTACCGTTCGCAAGAAAAGAAACGGGGTTCGGGCAAGAGTGAAAAAGCGCTTGCGTGGGCTTCCAAGATTCGGATTTGTTGTGTATGTGTTTAGAGTTTTTGTCGGTTTGTGTGTGTGTCGGGTCTCCATCGAAAGGCATCGTGGCTGGAAGGAGGCTTCCCCCATTGCACTCCTGAGCAAAGGTTTACCGTTTCCGTTAGTTTGTTGGTTAAACGTAACGGTTTGCAGCTGCCATGTCTTTGAAAGTCTCAGTTGCCGAGTTTGCCTGATTCCATTCTTTTGGGGTGAGCGGGACTGCGTTTTCCCAACTTTCAGTTTAGGCCTGGACCGTCCGGCGAAGGAAATGTCACGTCTAAGCCGTCACAATTAGCACGTGAAGAAAACGAGGTTTTGGTGAGAAACTCGCGACATCGACTTTGCTGCTCGTCTACATGAAGCAGACTAGGTTTTTGACGAAAAACTCGGGAGTTCGGCTTTGCTGCCAATGTAATCAACGCAGCCTACGATGATTTTGTCGGTAGATTCAAGAATACGGGTTTTTCTCCCAGTTTGGTCTGAAGGGGGCAGACAGACTACGTCTTGGCGAGAAATTCGGGATTTAAGAGTCTTCCCTTAGTCTACCACGTTCAAGAAGAAGGTTCTGTCATGATCTATATCATTGTCTATACTTAAATCTGGATTTCGAGATCTGTGTGTATACTTATATGTATTGTATATTTATAGTTGTTTCGTGAGACGCTTGCTTGTCATGGTCAAAGTTGTCCATGCTTGTCGTGATTGTTGCACGTTGCAAAATTGCGGAAAACGCCAAAAGTGTGCCCTTGCCGTCAACATTGACATGATGTTTTTGTCATTCATTCACAACGCAGCAAGCTCCAGTAACTCTACATCCATCCGCAGATAAACGGCTCCCCAAGGGAGCATGTGAAACGATCCGTAGATCCAGAATCACAAAACTGACGTTAGACACACAGACCCCGTGCCTACCCCGAAGGGCCTGGCAGAACTTTGACTACCCTTTCACTGGGAGTGGCAACCACATCCAAGATCTCAGAAGCGAGGCGTGGCAACCACAGCCTGCGGAAGCACGACTCCAAAGGAGTGTATTCTGCAGACAGACTAGTAGATCAAGGCAAAGCTAGGCAGCTAGGCAATGCCTGTCGTAGACACAGCATTTGTTTTGCGCTCAACCTTTCGCCCGGCCTCAAAATCGCCTCGATCTCCGCTGTCCGATTTCGGAAGTCAGGGACACTGGCGGGCGTAGAGGGAGCCCTGCTGCCAACGTCCAAAACTGTCGAAGGGACACACCCTTGACCAGGTGACAGCGTATCCAATGGTACAGGCTCATAGACGTAATGCTTTCGGTGGTATGGAACCTCCATTGGAGCGTCCCAGCCACCCACAAAGAACGTGTCAGTCCTGACGAATTGTCTTGTGTAGTTCCGATCCACATCCGGGGCGTCACAGAGTAGCCCGCCGTTCGGTGCCGCCTACTCGTAAATGCCTTTGGCATTAAAGTTTTGTACTGGCACGCAGGTTTCGCGAAGAGGTGCGACAGTTTGGCGCGCCCAGCGCATGCGGTGTGCAACCATACAATACGCTCGCGCCAACTCTGCTCTCCTCGTTTCATCGCGAAAAACATCAATCAGACGAGCCGTATACCCGTAAACGTCCGCCGGGGCGGACGCATCCTCCTTGCATGTCTGCCGGATCAGCTGCGTCATGGCGGCTGCCAGGACGTCGCGTTTGAGCCATACAAGGGCTATCGGGAGTCTTCGTCGTCTGAGTGTATTACGGCTTGCCATGCCCAACGTGGTAACGAGCAAACGGTTCCAGCCCCGTCCCCGTTGGAAGCGCCTTTCGGCGTAATGTTGCCAATCGAGATGATATACCCGTCGCATGAATCGGGGTCCTCACTGTCGAATGTGAGGTACCCTTTTTCCTGCATGCAATGGATACATCCTCAAACGCCCCCCGTGTCTGCGAGAGCGTTGTATCACGGCATACTGCGGATGAGGGACGCGTCAAGTTCCTCAGCCAGAGCAACCCTTGGAAAGCGTCCTTCCTTGCGGAAGTAGCCGCCCAAACCCATGTAATTACTGACCCATGCAATGCCGTACGAGATCAAGCCCACCTGCAGACGTCTCGCCATACAGATGTGTAAGCACTGCGTTTTCGACTCGCGCAGTGGTAGCCATTTCACGAAGCTTTGCCAGCAGCGTGGGATGATCGTAAGCTGTCTCAAACAAGATTGCGCTCGCTTGAGCCAAAATGGCTACTTGACATGATGTTTTGGAAACGGATGTGTTCAGAGTAGCTTTGGTTCGTCTGCCGAGCGAAAGCTCACTCTTGCGGCAAGTGCGCTTCCGAAAAGATCCTTGAATGTGATCGGCACAGCATCTGCGAGATCTGCTTTCTGGCTGAATTGAAAGTGTTGGGGAGCAGGCTGCTGTCGCATCCTCAGTTGTGAATGCTCCACCTGCTTCAATCAGCAAGGCCTCGTTCTCGGCCAAGTGTTTCGGCAGACGAGGAATGAAGGGTACTCATCTAAATACTAAGCAGCACAACGATTGAAACAAGAATGACAACATGGCGGGAAACCCGTGTCCCTAAGGCACGTGGAGTAAAAACCCGCCGAAAACAGAATGGCAGAACGCTACGCGGCGAAGGCCCTAACCCGCAAACCCCACCTACAAAACACTAAGCCCGAAACTTAGGCGGTCCGAAACCCTAAACCGGTAAAGTACGTAGTGCTGGACATGTGCAACTATATAGTTTTTCTCATGGACGTTCTTTTGTTCTTGAATGAAATATTGCCTACCGAAAACCCATACCTGCCAAAGCCCCGAACCCTCGAAAAAACCAGCTTAAATAGCGAAACCCCAAACCAGGAACAATGAAAACAGAGCATTGGGTGGCAAATCCATCCACATGTTGGCCGGCAACCCCAATCCAAGAGAAGAAGACGTTGATTTTGATTGGCAATCAAACCGCAAACAATGAAAAGGAAACGCTGGACGGCAAAACGCAAATCTTAAAGGAAGATGTGGCAAACCCAAACGAAAAAGCTTGTCTGTTAACCAATCACACACACACACACACACACTTTTGATGGAAATGTTGGTTGGCAAACCGCAAACCCCAAAAGAAGAAAACGCTGGTTGGCAAACCGCAAACCTTAAAAAGTAAGCGGAAGGAAGAGATTATTGAGCTTTTCCAGCAACCCGCAAACCTTTGCAACGAAATGTTTTTTGCCAAAACCCGAACCCTCAAAAGAGAATGAAGATTCATAAATCCCAACCCGATGTTGGTTGGCAACCGCCAGACCCTAAACAGTTATGTTAGCTCGCAAAACTCCAAACCCCAAACGAAAAGGCCCCATGCTTTGAACGAAGATGTTGGTTGGCAAATCCACCAAAAAGGATCGCTCCCAAATGATGCTGGTCGACAACATGCGGAACCACAAAGATGTTGGTGGGGAACCTCGAAAAGAGATCTGTTGGTTGGCACAAACCCCAAACCACGAAATGATGTCATTCGTATTGAAGCACTGTGGGTTGGCACAAGGAGACGATGTTTGCCAAATTCCAAACCGAACAGCTCGGTCGGACAAGTCCGCCTCCCTAAATTAACGGTGGCCTGCTACGGAAGTGACCTGACACAGAACGCTTGCAGGCGGACACGCTCTGTTGGAGCCGTTGCAGAAAATCCGGAGTCTGTGAGACGGACTCAGCAAGTGAACAGACGAAGCGGTCGGAACTGACTTCGTTCGTGGGCGGTCAGACAAGTATCGAGCCGCACGCTTGACCCGCCAGTGGAACTGCCCAAGAGCAACCTCAAGCAACGGCAAGGAGAGAACTCACGATGCCGGATGGCCTAGCCCTGAAAGGCATGGCAAGCTGGAAACACGGGTTGGAGCATCGGCCACATCATTGGAGATGCCAGGAATGCGGTCCTTTTGTGTCTGAACGGAAAACGGCCGACGCCCAGAGAGGGCAGCGTGAAACTCCCCAATGGATGAGGGCAGACGGAAGCGACCTGTTCAATGCAAGACTGGTTGCAAGCGAAAGTCCGCGCTTTATGCACGGGAAGAGCATGTGCGCCTGCAGCAATGGTGGCAGCAAATGGGGCCCAAGACATGACCCTGATATCGAGCCACAAAAGGCTGGAGGACGAATTTTCAAGCCACACAAATCCACCACGGGCGGCCACAAGCGCAAGCAGATCGCGGCAGCGGGCGTGAATGAGAGCCGAACGGGAAAGCTCCTGTGATTGTGACGCAGAAAGGTCATCCCGACCACACGGATGAGAATGCGCACCAGGACGAAGACGAGCCCTGGAGAAAGCCGCGCAAGGAGGAGCAGTCGGGGAGGGCCAAGGCCGGCTGCAGAGTGCAGGGTGGAGACAGGGCAGAAGCGGCAGTGCTCAGAAGCCCCGGAAGCCAACACGGATGCAGGCAAAGGTGGAGGGTCCCCTCGTCAATGCGGGGTTGCAACACTGTGGCAACATGCTCCGCGGCGGAGTGGGGCTGTCCAGAAGATTCCACAAGGCTTGACGGACGGCAACGGAACCGGACAGCCATGGAAGTACTTGCACGACGGATTCTTGCATTTGACGTGCAGACGCATAACGGCCTTAGGGCCATAGTGTGGAGAGAGAGAGAGAGACAGAGACAGAGATGGTGTTGATGCTGATGATGATGCTGATGATGACAAGGATGATGCTGATGATGATGATGATGATGATGATGATGATGATGCTGAAGATGAAGATGAAGATGAAGATGAAGATGAAGATGAAGATGAAAATGAAGATGATGATGATGATGATGATGATGATGATGATGACGAAGATGACGAAGATGATGATGGTACTGATGGCGATGATGATGACGGTGATGGTAGTGATGGCGATGGTGATGGCGATGGTGATGGTGTTGATGGAGATGGTGGTGACGGTGATGGTGGTCATGGCGGTGATGGTGGTGATGGTGATGGTGGTGATGGTGGTGTTGGTAGTGATGCTGGTGGTGATGATGGTGATGATGATGCTGATGATGATGATGATGATGATGATGATGATGGCGATGGTAAGGATGATTTGTAATGATGGTGATGGTGATGGTGTTGATGCTGATGGTGGTGACGGTGATGATGATGATGGTGATGATGATGATGAGGAGGAGGAGGAGGACGACGACGACGATGATGATGATGCTGATGATGAGGATGATGATGATGATCATGATGATGATGATGATGATGATGATGATGACGATGATGATGAGGATGATGATGGTGATGATGGTGCTGATGGTGCTGATGGTGATGATGGTGATGATGGTGATGATGGTGATGATGGTGATGACGATGACGCCACCGTGACGATGACTATGAAACGAAGCGTGCTATGGGTTTTGAGATTCTGCACAGAGCTGCTTCTTGCACAACTCGTATCCTCTATGCCAAAGCGAAGTGAAAATGCGTTTTCAATTCAAGCGTCTTTCCGGCTTCAGATGTTTATCTCCAAAGCTGTGCAAACTCCCAAGTCGAAAGAGGTTGCCGAAACATGCTTGGGTCGGTGCTAGAACTTCTTCGTCTTCGTCATCCTCGTTGGGATGTTCCTGGCACACTTCTAGCACGACACACACACACACACACCCTCTGGTTCCAGTTTCACCTGACCTCGATGCGATGAGCACCAGCTGCACCATTCCTGTCGTGCGTTCGACCGGAAACCCTGCCCTGCAGTGCCGCCAAAGAAGGGCCTCAGACGGTCGCGGTAGTGCCTCCCAAGACAGTCCAAGTGCAAGAAAACCCCCGCGGCTGTGGCCACCGGGTGGCCCGTGGTGGCCTTCCCGCTTTCTCCAAGGCCAGCTTGGAGCGAGGCCTGACGAATGCAAGCCCACGTGCACTGCACACAGCGGAAGATCGCACTAAACTCACTGCTCTTCAGGCGGAGATGAGTACGGCACGGAAACCTGATCGTGTTTCTCGTACTCCTTGGATTAAGTGGCGAGGGTCGGTCAGGGCGACTGAAACCGTATTCGAGAACAGCGGCCGCTGACGAAGTTCTCTCTCTTTTTCGTCCTGCAGCAACAGATTGAGAGACTCTGAAAGACCAGCGGCACCAGGAGTTCTTCTCCCACCCCCAGCCTGCTTGGGCAATGTCTGCGTCTGCACATCCGGCTCCGGCGTCTGGGCACATCGCACAGGGTGCATCATCAAAAGCCTCTTATAGAAGAGCCCCAATTCACCGCTCTCCGTCTCTGCCCAACCTGCTCAGGTACGCCTGGTCCATCGCCACGGACCTGGCCGAGCTGAACAGGGCATTCTGCGCATTCAGAAACCACCAACATACGGCAGCCCTGGGCAACTCATGTAGGACAATCTTCACTCTCCTCTTCATTTACGGATCAGATGCTTGCAAAACAGAGTGTCTGCATGACTTGCAAGTCGAACGCTTCTGTTGATGCATTCCGACATGTTGTTGATTCTGTTCGATTCGGCCCTCTTCAGGGAATCGCAAATCGCCTCTTCAAGGCAGCCCAGGCAACCAAGGGGCTTCTAAAGCCCTCTTCGGGCTTAGGAGGTGGCTAAACATCCGCCCAACTGGTGATATGTTGATCACTCTTCTGGTCGCATATAACACGATACCAACACACAAAGTAGGAGACACCCCCAGCGGCAGAGTTCACTCTCATTGCTGGGCTATGTTATACCAGAAACCAAAGGAGTGATCCGGTCGCGCCGGCTGGAGCTCCGAGAAAGAGCGGGTGCAGGGCTGCTTTCTAGTAGATAGGAAGCAGACAGACAGACAGACGGACAGACAGAGTGGGAGTGAGAGTGGAAGTGCGAGTGGGGAGTGGGGAGTGGGGCGGGTGCCGGATCAACAACAAACTTCATCAGGGTCAAGAAAGAACTTATGCCCTCAAGGATCAAATCAAAACTTACGCAGGATCAAAAAACATTGTGTCCCACTTGAGGAACCAAAAAGAAGATCTGCACCCACAGGATGCTCGCGGAGCGCATCTGCCGCCATGGCACGCGCATAGTTTGCGCTGTGCTTCCAAGTATTTACAGAGGATTGCCTTGCTGCGAGCGCCCGGTGGCCAGGATTCAGTTTAAATAATACGACATGGTCCCACTTTTTGCTTTCGACAACTTTGAATCGCAGCAGTATTTGGAGCCGGTGATTCTGGGTGTTCCTCTCAATCTCGCAGGCTAAGGCGGGGAAACATAAATCGCCTGCGCCCGAAGCGCGCCAGTGCTTGGCGGAAAATACTTCCGCGCTGGTCCTCGCGACGCCACTACTTGGGGGAAAAGGATTTCGTCGTGCTTTCACTTCCGTCTGAATCCCGCCACTACTTGGGGGATGGCATCCGAGGCGTGGTTGAATGCGCCAATACTTGGGTGGTCTTCTAGTGCTCCTGGTGCTCTCGAGCGGGTCTCCTCTGGTGGTCGCTTAGTGACTCCTGGTTTTGGTCGTTGTCGTCCAAGTCGACGTGGTCGTTCTTCGTGGTTGGTAATATGGTGCAAGTGCTAGAAAAACACAGATGGGTCACAACGGCCTGCTTCTGGTGTGGAACATTTCTAAGACTACTGATGGTAACGATAGTAATGATAGTGATAATAGAATACAAAAAAGCTGTGCGGCTTGCGTTTTTGCACCCCATTATGTTCAGGTCTCGAATAATATTCATAATTTAAATAGCAATGGCAATCATAATATCAACAGTACCAGTAGTACCAATAAGAGTAATGCTACTAGTGTAGTGGTAGTAGTAGTAGTAGTAGTAGTAGTAGTAGTAGTGGTAGTAGTAGTAGTAGTAGTAGTAGCAGCAGCGAATTGCGTGTAGCGGCATCGTTATGCGAATCGGCGTGCATGTTGGTCTGGATGTTGCAAATCATGCTCACTGTAGTAAAACGATGGGTGCAATGCAAAGCGCGAACAATGCTTGCAAGTAGGGCGCCTGTCCATGGGAAATCACGCGTGTGTTTGCGAAGGCCATAGGAATCAGCATAAACATGCCCACCCACAGTGAATGAACAACTGCGTTGCATGAGCTCATCTTATAATACTACTTACACTACTATGACAACAACAACTTCTACTACTGCCCTTCTCGGAGTATGCATGTGGCGGCTTGTGGGTAGAGCATGCTGAAGGCGATGTGCGCTTCTCAGTGTCCAGTCCGCCGGGCATTGTTCACCCGGTGATCTCTGAGCCGAGTCGCAAGCATGCGACACTTCCGTGGACAGGCCAGCGATATTGCTTGATTGCATATCATATCAGGAATGCTGACCGACTTGAGCGTTCTGACAAGCAATACTTGCTACAGCTGGGATTCGTTCCTCGGGATGATGTTCTATGGTCTGATGAACCACCTTCTCCATGATGGTGTATCTTGCCTTTTCGTTCCGGATGAGATGGGCTCGGATATACTCTGTCCATAAGAAAAATGCTGCTGGCTCTCTTTCTTGTGCAAACACTCCAACAGTGAGCGAAGCTTCCAGCACATCCTATGATGTTCTAAACATGATCGAGATCAGTGTGCCTCTCCTCGCGTGCATTGTGACGAGACTGCCTCTTTTCTTCACTCACTAAGGTTGTATCCTCTAAGTCGTTCTGAGGCTCGTATATAGGCATACCGCAGATGTGCACAGTACCAGCAACAACAGCATTCATCGTACTTAGAGTTTGCGATCTTATGCTGTCCAGTTCGCTCTACAGTTGACATGCTTGGCTTTGAGGGGCGGTGTCGGCTGAAATAGCACTGCTTGGAGCTTCGGCTCGGGTGCTACATGCCAGTCATCTTTTCATTTCATGCCATGTTAAACACATGGCATCTTCGACCTTTTTATGCCAACTGCTGCTGTCCTTGTGCTGGCCGGACAATGTCTGATGGCAGGGCATGCAGGACATGAACACATGTTCGCGAAGTGGAAGTAGAAGTAAGTAGCAAGTAGCAAGTAGCAAGTAGTAAGTAGCAAGTAGTAAGTAGTAAGTAGTAAGTAGCAAGTAGTAAGTAGTAAGTAGTAAGTAGTAAGTAGTAAGTAGCAAGTGG